GCTCTTATGTCGGCGCTCTTTTGTCGTGCGCTCTTTTGACGGGTCACCCACGTCAGCATATGCGCACATTTTACTAATACAAATTTTGACACAGAAACATACAACTTTAAAAAAAAACTTTTTATAACATAAACTGTGGCGCAAAAGTTTACACAATGAATGAACTTGGGGATACAGAGATGCACCCTATGTCTTCACTAAGATAATCTGCATTGCGCTTGTTTGCTAAACTCAAGCTAGGAGTTTACATACTTCCTAACAATAAGGGCGGGTCCAATTCTTACCCACCTTATAAGAACGTAACGCTTGAACAAAGATAGGTCTGCTTTATCTTTGCTCAAAGATAACAAGACCTCGCCGACTTAAGCGTAAGACATATGAGCTTTTCATGACTATTCTGATCAAATACGAGTCGCATATACGGTATACGGTTCGTGAAAATGAATAAATTCAAGCTTTTTTTCTAGGGCAAAGACGTAGTGCTGATTTGCAGTTGATATATAACGTAAAACATAAAATCAAATTAAGACCTAGCGATGAATTGGCCAGGTAGACTTGACCTTGGCATAATATGGTGTGGTCAGTACTTTACTTTCCGTAATGTAAGTCAAAACCGAGATCCTAACTCGGATTTTATTTATGGTTTATTATTAAACGTCTTCGTGATATGGCTTAGATAAATAAAAAAACACCATTTATTTCCTAATTCTGTTGCAAATGTGTTCGCTAGTAAAGTCAAGATTTTAAATCCAATTCTTTCAGAAAATCTAGCCGATTGAAACGGAAAATTGTCATAAAGTGCAAGGAAATCTTAACAACTCTTTATTAAGTAAAGTACATGTGGATACGGGACAAAAGACATTTCCGATTAATACATCGAGTCGCTCAGTGTTTTTTTTTAAAGCACTACTGTGGCTTTTGAAACAACATGAATGAAAGAGAATTTAGCTTTTAGAAGAGCGCTGTTGGGGACTGTGGACAGATTAGATTTTGTAAAAAGCAGAAGTTCGAGACGCGGTCGAGGTGAATGAAAACCTGCACACATTTTTCTAAAAGATTGCGTAGTGTGCCGAGTGGGGTGGATACTGAGCACAAAACGATTTGCTTGTCGTAGTGGAGACCTGAACACGTATGAAAAGGAAACTTAAAAATCAACGACGGCATCGCTTACGTTAACGCGGTACGTGTGTGGAGCAGAGGGCAGGCAATTGAAACCCTAAGTTAGGTTTAATTTTTGTAATCATTTGAAAAACAACCGGATTTGTTAGTTTTTCTACAGACTTTTAAACGGTTTTGTGACCGTTGAATTGGTGATCTGTAGGACAAAACCGACATGATCCGCAGTAGGGTGTACTGTGTTCGCTTCACAATCCCACTCCCCACAGAATCAAAGTGTCGCTTTAATGACCAGCGTATAGCACGGTAGCCGGCGTTACATCGCGTTTATTTACGTTGTGGCGACAAAAGATATTTATGCATACAAAATTAACTTTTCTAGCATTTCATGGATGAGAGGAACCGGGCTGGATTGCTAGTAGAATTAACATAACAGTTGTGTGTGGCTGGGGTTCGGCAGACCACGGGATGAAAGGGCACCGTGAATATATGTTGGTGTTTGGATGAGAGGGCACCGTGAATATATGTTGATGTGTGGATGATAGGGCACCGATGGCACCGTGAATATATGTTGATGTGTGGATAAGAGGGCACCGTGAATATATGTTGATGTGTGGATAAAAGGGCACCATGAATATATGTTGGTGTTTGGATGAGAGGGCACCGTGAATATATGTTGATGTGTGGATGATAGGGCACCGATGGCACCGTGAATATATGTTGATGTGTGGATAAGAGGGCACCGTGAATATATGTTGATGTGTGGATAAAAGGGCACCATGAATATATGTTGGTGTTTGGATGAGAGGGCACCATGAATATATGTTGGTGTTTGGATGAGAGGGCACCGTGAATATATGTTGATGTGTGGATGATAGGGCACCGATGGCACCGTGAATATATGTTGATGTGTGGATAAGAGGGCACCGTGAATATATGTTGATGTGTGGATAAAAGGGCACCATGAATATATGTTGGTGTTTGGATGAGAGGGCACCATGAATATATGTTGGTGTTTGGATGAGAGGGCACCGTGAATATATGTTGATGTGTGGATAAAAGGGCACCATGAATATATGTTGGTGTTTGGATGAGAGGGCACCATGAATATATGTTGGTGTTTGGATGAGAGGGCACCGTGAATATATGTTGATGTGTGGATGAAAGGGCACCGTGAATATATGTTGGTGTGTGGATAAAAGGGCACCATGAATATATGTTGGTGTTTGGATGAAAGGGCACCGTGAATATATGTTGGTGTTTGGATGAGAGGGCACCGTGAATATATGTTGATGTGTGGATGATAGGGCACCGATGGCACCGTGAATATATGTTGATGTGTGGATAAAAGGGCACCATGAATATATGTTGATGTGTGGATAAAAGGGCAGCGTGAATATATGTTGGTGTGTGGATGAAAGGGCAGCGTGAATACGTGTTGTTGTATGGATGAGAGGGCACCGTGAATATATGTTGGTGTGTGGATAAAAGGGCAGCGTGAATATATGTTGTTGTGTGGATGAGAGGGCACCTTTAATATATGTTAATGTGTGGATAAAAGGGCACCGTGAATATATGTTGATGTATGGATGATAGGACACCATGAATATATGTTGCTGTGTGGATGAAAGGGCACCGTGAATATATGTTGGTGTTTGGATGAGAGGGCACCGTGAATATATGTTGGTGTTTGGATGAGAGGGCACCGTGAATATATGTTGATGTGTGGATGAAATTCCACCGTGAATATATGTTGGTGTGTGGATGAAAGGGCACCGTGAATATATGTTGGTGTTTGGATGAGAGGGCACCGTGAATATATGTTGGTGTTTGGATGAGAGGGCACCGTGAATATATGTTGGTGTTTGGATGAGAGGGCACCGTGAATATATGTTGATGTGTGGATGAAATTCCACCGTGAATATATGTTGGTGTGTGGATGAAAGGGCACCGTGAATATATGTTGCTGTATGGATGAAAGGTCACCATGGTTGTATGTTACTGTACAGGGCCGCTCAATCTAGAAATAGATAGCTTATTATTTTCGAACTAGGCATGCTGCCCAGCTTCGCTTAGGCTTTCGAAAACATTGAGAATTTGAATGCTTAATTAATTCGCCCGAAGGTCGGTCTACGACCTCAAGAGTTATGAAGAGGTTCCTCCGTGGACATTTTTTTTCGATTTATAGCTCATATAAGGTACCGGTCAGTCGAGGTCAGTTTTGACCCCCACATCGTAGACTTTTCGGCCAACCGGCCCCCGTGTTCTGTCGCACCAAGGCAAGATCATGCCAAATTTGAAGCGCCTGCGGCGCCGGGAAGTGCCCTATCGGACACCCGACAATCTAGAATCTAGATCTAGATCTAGATTCCTAAAAGAATTTTTTTTTTAAGTTTAGCCCGAGCATAATAAAAAAGAATATATTAACCAAGTTGACTTGCTGTGTCTCGAACCCGCACCACCTGCGTGGTTTAATGTACACTAACATCTCCGCTATTTAGGCACCTTATAAAATACGGAGAATGAAACACGTATTTTAAAATCTTAACTTACACGAATAAGCCTATTCTTTCAAATTATTTTTTTATCCCAAATTAGCCAGTTCATAACAAAGATTTTGTATAAAATAAATAAGTCTTGAAATAGTTTAGTCCTAATATAGAAATTTATTTTTGGAATAGATTTTAGAGAAGTTAGAGTCTAAATCTAGATCTTAGCGTCTACGTCTAGATTATAGATCTAGTTATTGCGTAGATTTAGATTTAGTCTAGATCTAGAATCTCTAGATCTAGAATCCAAATAAATAAAATAAATTTTATGAGTTTAGGCCGGAAAAACTGTATTGTATACATTTCATAGTGTACGTAGATCTAAATCAAATTTGAATGAAATAGTTCATTTCTTTTTATTCAAAACACAGCAGATGACGTCATTAGTTAATGTATAAGCAATAGCGACGTCACAGTTTTATGCGTTCTTTTTCACATGTATTAATGCTTTTCCGGTTGCATAAATAATACTGTTTCTCTACATTCGAATACGCCTTTAATTTTTATTTTTCTTCTTTAAGTAAAATTGTGGTTATACATTTAAAACATCTAACATATTATTTTCAACAAAAGTCCGTAAAAAGTTCTCGATATATCGCTGCCGATTCTGACGTGATGTCCGGCGAAAATTTTTTGCGGACAGAGAAAGAGAGAGAGAGAGAGAAGAGCGCACATGGCCTTTTATAAATTAGGATTATATTTGGGTTGGCTGAGATGTATGCGTGGGGTAAAAACTTCCTCTCACCTCGATTCATTAGTACACTTGTAATAAAAGCTCCGTGAAATCGCACGTTGATTGAAGCCTCTTATTAAAAACTTACAGACTCTGGCTACATCTATAAGATGTTCAATTACTTCTTTAAATGTAACTTTTATGTCTACTCTATGAAAATATTGTTATATATAAAGTTTTATATATATATATATATATATATATATATATATATATATATATATATATATATGCAATGGCGTAGCGAGGTCGGGTGTCACCCGGTGCGGCACTTAATTGTGTCACCCCCCCCCCCCCAGAGGCTGAGCGACCCTTCCCGGGGACAAACTTTCGATTTACTCCCCCCCCCCCCTCAAGTTTTCGATTTGCATCCCCTTCAAACTTTCGATTTGCACCCTCCCCTTCAAGTTTTTCTCTATATTTTGCTATTTTTTGCCTTGGTGTCACCCCCCTAAATGTTGTCACCCAGTGCGGTCCGCACCCCCGCCCCCCCTCTCTACGCCTCTGTATATATGTATATATATATATATATATATATATATATATACCACTACATCAATGTATGTACAAAGCCTGTGATGTATAAAACATTGTGAACCCAGGTTGTAATGAGCCCATCCAAAAACTGTGGGAACACAAGTACATACGACGCTGTCATGGCTGTCCATTCCGCGCCTGCGCATTTTGAAAAGAGGAAGACCTTCCGGTGGTTGTATGGTGACCAGAACAAAACTCATCCGTATAAAATAAAGGTTGTTGTTTTTAAATTTTATATGATTATTATGTAATTTATATTAATTATATGTAATCTGATACGCATTAATTCATATTGTATAAAAACCAGAAGATGTTTCATTAGCACAAATAACTATAATTGTGTTATAATTTGACTATTCATACAAGATGGTATCAGTGGCGGAACTAGAAAAAAAGGGCCACCCTGCAAAAAAAAATTTTTGGTCCCCCAAACATATATATATATATATATATATATATATATATATATATATATATATATATATATATATATATATATATATATATATATATATATATATATATATATATATATATATATATATATATATATATATATATATATGAATTAAGTTCGGCTGTGGGCCCCTAAACGGCCAGGGCACCACTCCCCATTGCGGGGTCTGGCGGCACTTTAGTTCCGCCCCTGGATGGTATCCTATCTTTAGGAACCATTTATATTTACTTCCGACCATAACCCAAACCTTACTACACATTTTAACCCTAAATCGCACCCAACCCCCTCCAATTTGTACAGGAATACTTAAGTAACCTATACGGGCTAAACTGTAAGTTATAATTATAATATCATCACCAATTTACAGGCGCCAACAGGCTTTTAGCAGAAGTGGTAATTTTACTAAAACAAAAACGGGATACCTAGCTCATATAAAATATGCTGAAAGTTGAAGTGAAGGGCGAATTGTACTGGCGAAAATTCAGCTTTTCTATTGGAACAGTGTAGTTGAATGAGTTATGCCATTTCAGCGATACTATTCTTCCCTTATCTCAAACAAGTACTAAAATTATTTGCTATAATTCATAATATCGGTAATAGTTTTAAGTTAACTGATAATATTTTATACGCAAGACACCCCTCCTGTAAAATGGTGTGTGTTAAGATAAAACGAAAAAAAAAATTATGTTGAAGATACGATCGGTTCAACGTAAATTTTTTCAGCAAAGTTGTAATGTCAACCAATATCCGTCGAGACTGAGTTTGTTTAGCCTGATTCGATTTCTCACATTTTCCCTGCATGTAATGTTGTCTAAACTTCGGCTCGATTACATTCACATACGACCTGTCATACGTTCATACAGTCTGTGTACATACAGCTATTTTTTTTAGGCCATTAATCATTTAATCAAAAACGGAAGGCCGTGTTTACATACAGGTAAATTTTTACTTCGATAGGGCCTCGAATTTAGTTCAAACACTTCAAGCAAATGGTTGGTAAACCTTTGATTTTTCTCTGAATAAGTAGTGTTAACTATAGCTGTTATTTTAACATGGCTAATAAATAAATAAAGTAAATGTTATAAACAGCGACCTTATAAAGGGTAAATGAATAGTAGAGGATGTGCCGTATTGATAAAGATTATTATGAGCGAGGAAAATCACCAAAATAATAATCTATACCAGATGACGACATGTCTGTTAAGTCTGTTTTCTGTACTACACCATACATTAGTACAGTTTACTTTAATTGTATAGCCCATGGTACCCATAAGTTCTAATACAAACACAATCTATACCAGTATTGTCGCTTGTTTACGAGGGAACTAAAAATCTTTCAAGTTTCATATAATCTTAACAATATCAAGGGATGCAACTACTCACAGACTATGCCAGTCATAAAGTTACTTTATAAATAAAACCATTAAAAATAATCAAATTTATTTTCGTCCCAACTCTTAAATTGCACATAAAATAGAATAAAAAACCCATTTATTTTCTTTCCCTAAAATAGCAAAGTGTTATTCATTTAAATGTATTTTTAAAAGATTTTTTTTTGAGCGATGAATGCTCTACTAGTAAAATTAATGAATACAAGTATTGGTTTTTCTCTTTTAGATAATTTTTTTTAAAAGCTTTTTAGGATTAAGGCACTGTAAAAATATAGTAGACAGTTGATACTTTAGTTTTGACAACAATTAGTAGGCCTATATCATTTCATTTTTCCAAGTTGATCATTGTTGCTTAGACTTAAACAAAGGATGTTGTAGATTTAGTGTCGCACAGTTTCCCAAATAAGTATCAATCAGCCTCCTGTGAGCATTACCCCAGTCAAGAGATGTGTAAACGGCAACACTAGTTCACCTTACTACTTGTCGGAAGGTACAACGTAGTTATCCTCACCAGAGGCGTCGCGAAGTGGGGTCGAGGGGTGCGGAACGCACCGGGTGACACCATTTAGAGTTGTGACATCAAGAAAAAAAAATTGCAAGATTTATAGAATAAATGTTTTTTTTTGCCAGTTAATGAATGGTTAATTCAAGTTAAAAAATATTTTAGTACATAATTATAATCGCGACAAAGGGGAGGGGGGACGACACTAAGACGTAAACTGCAAACTATAGAGAAAACAATGCTACACCCAGCTGTTTTAACAACAGACTATAGATAAACATCATTAGTATTAAATGTTAATATTGTAAAAAAAATTACTAGCGGTGGGGGTGGGGGGGGGGGGGGGTGTGACACCGAGTGCAAAATTTACAGATAAAATTAAGGGGGGGGGGGTGAAAAAATGAGGTGCCGCACCGGGTGGCACCCGACATAGCGACGCCACTAATCATGAGATTAGTAAAAGGCAACATTTCATGAACATCATTTCACCTGACTACTTGTGGGAAGCTCTAACTTAGTTATCCCTCCTGTTGTTAGTAAATCATGTAATCTTTAACTTCGTTTTTGGAAAAATAAAATAACTTAATCTGGTTTAAAATTACAAATTAGTGTATTGTCGTCGAAGTTGCAATCTATATGCAGCGCTTGACAGAAATCTCCCAATTAGATATGTTTCAAAAATGTGTAACACGATTGACACTAAACACAACACAACCAACAATGAGACTAAAGTTAAAGTTTGTAAAGATAGAGAACAATATGAAACGAACTCTGCTATGTGAATAATAATTACCAGTTACTTAAAGTCAAATGTATCTTTACACGAACATTTTTTTTTAACCGGGCTATATTATTTAAATCCACAGCTGCTGTTCTTTATTGGGACGGTGCTGAATCCTGCACTACAAGCCAACCTCTCCCAGGAGTTTCACGAGTTCAGTGACCTCGTGCAGGGCAGCTTCATCGATTCCTACCACAACCTCACCTACAAGGCCATCTTCCTCTTCCACTGGCTCGACGCCAACTGCCGCGGGCTCAAGCTCCTTCTCCGTGTCGACGACGACATCTTCTTCATCGCTCAACGCTTTTTCCCCTTCTGGACCAAAACACCAAAACACCGCTTCATCGGCTGTGAGGTGATGACCAACGACCTCGTCAGGAGAAACGGAAAATGGGGAGTTCCGGTTTCACTTGTGGCGGAGAAACGCTACAACTTCAGCCGGTGTTTGGGGTACTTTACGGCCGTGACCCCTGACCTTGTTCACGAGATGAGCGAGGCGGCAAGGTCAATGCCGTTTTACTGGATAGACGACGTGTTCATGTACGGGTTTGTGCCCAAGAGGCTTCAGGTCAAGTTAGAGAACATTAGGGCCGGGATGATGAGGAAGAAGACGGAGGACTTTGTTAAGTGTGTGGAAACAAAAGGAAAAAATTGTCCCTTATGGGTTTTATTGGCAGACTATCAAAAGTTACCTTATTTATATGAGCTAATAAACAAGTAAAAAAATAATACACGATTCACTTATTGATTTACAGGCTTATCAAGTTATACACACATACATAACTATATATATATATATATATATATATATATATATATATATATATATATATATATATACATATATATATATATTTCTATAAAAATCTAATTCACGCAACAGTGACACATAACATGTACGCTTTATATATCACCCCAGCCCCACCCTCTACTGTCACAAAGCGCCTAAGAGGCGATAGCTAAACTTGATTCTACTTAAAACTATTTTTTTTTTTTGCTAATGGGGATCATCCATAAGTGACGTCACGCTTTTTTCGACGATTTTTACCTCCCCCCTCCCCTTCGTCACACATCCTCACAAAAAGCCAGACCTCTTCCCCCCCCCCCTAAAATGACGTCACACATCAGCCTACAACCCCCCTCAAAATTGCAGGTTGAATTTTTTTTTTAAAACATCGAAATTTTTCCAAAATCTAGTCTGAACTCTGTCAAAATAGAGGCTTTTAATCAATTCATATTACAATATTATAAAACAGTTTTCTAAAACGTAATATGACGTCTAAAATTCGTTTTCTAACATTGCTTTTATATAATGCAAAAGTGTGACGTCGTACCATCTGAACCCCCCCCTCCCCCTCACCACACACCGTCACAAAATTACGGACCCCCTCCCCCCTACGAGTGTGACTTCATTTATGGACGACCCCAATTTATAACTACACGTCAGTGAGGTCCATAAAGCATATTTGTGTATCACTACTAGCGTCCTCTGTCTGGTGACGTTTTTTTTACTTTCTCGTATATACGAAGTATAGAGAAAGTCTCGTAATCGTGCAAAAAAAAAATCGAGATTGTTACAAATCTCGACGTTTTACACCTCACTGATACGGAAAAACATAATTTTGCAATCTTGTCCGTATGTCTGTGTGTCTGTCTGTTTGTCTATCTGTCCGTGTGTAAACACGATAACTTGAGTACCGTTACAGCTAGGTTGATGAAATTTCATATATAAATATTTTATCACAATTGTAGATCCGTATCAACTTTTGAGCGATTTCCGATAACCGGAAGTGATACTTTTTCTACTTTGAATTTTTCAAAAGCCCATAACTTGAGTACTATTTGCGATAGATAAATGATATTTCACATGTAAGTAAAAGTCCTAATTCTCTACCTTTTTTTCCAATTTTGAGTATTTTCCGTTGACCGGAAGTACTAATTTACGCTATTTCCGACTGCTCAAAAAACGCATTTAAATTTATAAAGAACTAATAATATTGCGCACTATTATGCACATTCATTTGGCGTTCACTTGGAGTGAAATTCTTTTTTTCTACGAGATTTTATTCTATTTTAAAAACTTTAAGTTTTTAAAATGGAGTTCCCATCCCCTGTTGTTTTATATAAGAATATTCGAGAAAGTTTAGGGGAGATCACTCCCGGTTTATTTTTTACATAGCTTACAAACGGATTCATTTTCAAACCAGTTCTCTGCGTCAAGCACTGCCTCAAGGGATATCACCTGATTGCTAAAATCTGGGCAAACAGTGTAATGGGGGCGTGGCCTACGCCTCTATCTACCCAGGCACGAAGAGGGTCTACAATTACTATAGCATTAATTTGACGATACGAGTGGGTTAAGGGGAGAGGCTTTAAAGGGGGAGGGTAGGGTAAATATAGGTTAGCAAAAAAAAAAAAAAATGGGTCATCGCAGATAGCTATGCAAAATAAGAGCTTTTGGACTTTTTGTTTAGTTAAAATAAAAATGAAAAGAATAAGCCTGATCAAGTGATGTAAAACATATACAGTTTTATTAAAAGAATGTGTTTGATATATTATGTATAAAAATTGATAAAAGAAAACAAAACATCAGTGGCGGTATTACAAGAATATAACTTTTTTAATAAATATTATATAAATAATACTGCTAAGAAAACATGAAAGATCTTGACTGTTTATAGCAATAGAAATAAAAAGGATCAAGTTAAAACAAATAATTAAATTGCAAAGTAGTCTGATAATAATAGGGTGATTACATGTTGATACGGAGCTCTGTGTGACGCGATTAATTGTATTAGGTGAGTTATGGCTGAGCTACCAGATTAAGCTGTTAAGCTGACATGCATTCCTTTAAGATGGATTGATGTTTTTCATTTTCATGAGTGCATCACAGAAAGGCAGACAGACAGACAGACAGACAGACAGACAGACAGACAGACAGACAGACAGACAGACAGACAGACAGACAGACAGACAGACAGACAGACAGACAGACAGACAGACAGACAGACAGACAGACAGACAGACAGACAGACAGACAGACAGACAGACAGACAGACAGACAGACAGACAGACAGACAGACAGACAGACAGACAGACAGACAGTCAGACAGACAGACAGACAGACAGACAGACAGACAGACAGAGAGAGAGAGAGACAGACAGACAGACAGACAGACAGACAGACAGACAGACTGACTGACTGACTGACTGACTGACTGACTGACTGACTGGCTGACTGACTGGCTGGCTGGCTGACTGACTGAATGACTGACTGGCTGGCTGACTGACTGAATGACTGACTGACTGGCTGGCTGGCTGGCTGGCTGACTGACTGACTGACTGACTGACTGACTGACTGACTGACTGACTGACTGACTGACTGACTGACTGACTGACTGACTGACTGACTGACTGACTGACTGACTGACTGACTGACTGACTGACTGACTGACTGACTGACTGACTGACTGACTGACTGACTGGCTGGCTGACTGACTGAATGACTGACTGGCTGGCTGGCTGGCTGACTGACTGACTGACTGACTGACTGGCTAACTGACTGACCGACAGACGGAGAAACGTACAGACGGACAGACGGACAGACAGAGAAGTGTAAAACGTCGAGATTTGTGAAAATCTCAATTTCGATTTTTTTTTGACGATTATTAAATTCCTCTACAGCCTACTGCGAATACGAGAAGGTAATAATGTAAAGACTATTTTGAGTTAAATATTAAAAAGCTGCGCAAAATATATTCTGCAGTGTTGAAGAATGGAACTTCCCGGATATGTTTTTTCACGTGCACCGACGGTACCATCCATTCAGAACGCTAATAAAAACACGCCCACAAAATGAAGGATGTTTACTAGAATCATTGGCCAGTGTCTTTGAATAGCTTGCGAACCCTGTTAAATCCAGCAAAGTTAATGGTTTGAAGTGATTTTCTGATAGTAAAGATAGTCTTATTTGTATTTGAATGTAGATCGAGACGTATATATCTTAATTTTAATGGCGGAGAGAGAGAGAGAGAGAGAGAGAGAGAGAGAGAGAGAGAGAGAGAGAGGGGGGGGGGGGAAGAGAGGAGATGATGGTCTAGAAATGTTATAGATCTATATATTGAGACAGTTAAATGTTTAGAAATGTTATACATAGGGAGGTGGGAGGGTAAACCTGGTCTTGTTTTTGTTTAACAATTTCATTTAATAAACAACATGTTTAAAATATTAAACAAATATTGTTAAGGCTTCATATTAGTTAAAACTGTGATTTTTTTTTGTTACCTATATTATCCACAGAAACGTTGCCAAAATGTACTTTTTCTATAAAAATATATATTTTCTCAGTTTTAGTTTTGTGATTGTTGTCGACTTGATGAGCTGTACAAAATGCCAAGATGACTACAATGGCATATCTCATTGTCGCTGGTACGTTGTTTAAGTTCTTAAGCTGGACTTTTTTCACAATCTAGGTTACATTAGTTTATGAGCTAGACAAAATCCGGGGGTGGTGGGTGGGGGAATGGCCCGCCGATTTACCGGGTAAAATCCCGGTGAGTCCCCCGGGAAAAACTCAGTATGCCCCAGGAGCAGTGCTGTATTAGTCCAATTCAAGTTTTGATTTTTAAATTGTTCTAAATTTAGCATTCACTCATGCGAAGTCGTAACATTCAGGCTTTGATAAGGGAAAACTTCACCAAAACAATTAAATCCGGGTCTCTTGGACACAGCTTATTCTCGCCTGGAAAAATCATGAAAATGCCATAAAAAATAAAACATCAGTACTATGCTCGTATATTTGGTAACCTATCTATAAGTGATTTATGTTTATACACTTTTCAATGAGTAGAAGATTGTTAAAGGTTCTTGACTAAAGAATTATCTATAAGTAAAGTAATCTTTGGGTCGTTCTTAAACTATTACCAGAGGCGAAGCGAGGGTGGGGTGGGGGGAGTACATATGTCCCCGGGCGCCGACCTTAGGGGGCGCCAAAATGGGTTGGAAAAACAAATTAAAATGTCAATTTAGCTGCATTTTTGCATTATGAATAGTTTGAGGGGGGGGGGGTGTGCAAATCGAAAGTTTGAGTGGGGGGGGGGGGGGGGGAGGGCTGCAAATCTAAAGTTTGGGGGGGGGGGGGGTTGCAAATTGAAAATTTGCTCCAGAGGGGGCGCCAAGTTGAAAGTTTGTCCCCGGGCGCCCGGAAGGGTCGCTACTCCTCTGACTATTACGGATAGGTGGTGGAGTTATGTTTGTTTAGATCATGCGCGAATCGGTTGAGCGGGTGTTATGACATCTGACGCAGCCATGGGTGGAACTAGGGGTAGCTATTTAAGGAGTTGAGGGTGGGGGGGGGGGCTTTAGTTCCACAAATTAATTTTCGCCGAAATTCGCAGGAAAAAGAGGCTTATCAAAAGGTAAATATTTTGCGTATTTTAAAATTTTCCCGTTTGTAAATAAGATTTTGTGTGCTACTTCATTCTTAGTATAATACGTGTTCCATAAAATGATTGACGATAGTGTAATTGTACCCTGGATTTCAAAGCGAAATTTAGAAGGTCCAGATGTCGCCCAACACAATTACCCCCTCTCTCCACACATTGTTTAAAAGTAAAGTCAAAATGAATGATACTGGTATTAAGTATTTGGTACATTACAAGATGTGAGAGATTTTCTTGTTTCCTTCTTCGTTTACAATTCTAGCTTTGTAACGGTTTTCCACCAACACAGTTAAGTATTACATGGCATCTTATGATGCGCCAGATTAAAAGGAAGTTGTTCGCTATGTAGTTTTTTACCTTGATGAGTTGCTGACCCCAGCTGTTGACCCTCGTTTGCGCGGGGATTTGAACTAGGGATTTTACGGTTCAGCAAATATGAGCTTTACCAACCCGACCACGCCGATCTCCGATAAAAAGAGGGTTAAAAAATTGGATAACTTGGCATCTAAGGTGTCAAACCCCATCCATCCTTACGCCATCCATAATATCCAATGGTCTTCTTTTATAACGAGTTACACTACTCTATTTAAAAAAATAATAATAAAATTTTCACCCTTTTTTTACTAGAATAAACCTTGCAGCGTTTGACATAATAAATGTAACGACTTGAAATTTTCATTCACAGCAATCAGTTTGTCATTTGTCTGCGATGCTAACACAGTTACAGAGGAAAACATTTATACCTATTCAAAAAGTAACAGTGTTTTTTTTTAAGCTTACAAAAATTAGATTAATTAATACAAATATTGATTGATAGACGCAAAGACGGACAGGCGGACAGACAGACAGACTGACAGACGGACAGACAGACGAACAGACTACAGACGGACGGACAGACGGACAGAATGAATGCACATTGAATGCGTTGATTAATTTGAAAGGAATTTGTATTTTGTTTTAATCCCCTCAGGACGACGCCCGTGTTATAAAACCGAGATGAACATGTTGCTGGTTGGTGCGACTGGTGCTGGCAAAAGTTCCACAGGGAACTCTATACTGGGCAAGAACGTCTTTGAAACAGCCTCTAACTCTGCACCGAAAACCAAACAACTCCAGATCGCCTCCGCGGAGAACGACGGATACAAGTTCACTGTTGTCGATACGCCGAGTGTTAACGGCGCCGCACTCGAGCAGAACAGTTTGGAGGAGATTTTATTCAACAACTTCTCAACAAGTTTTAAATACCATGATGCTATCTTGTACGTCATGCCTTTGGGGGTCATATTCAAGGAAGAAGATGAAAACACGATTGAAATTTTAAGATGGACGTTTGGGGATATAGTAATTAAGGAAAGACTTATACTTGTAGTTACCCATTATATGGAGTGGTTGTATCCAACAGAAATCGAAATTTCTTTTATGGGTAGATGGCAATCATGGTTTACTCTCACTTGTAATCTTTTGCTGAAGGATTGTGGGAGGAGAATTATTTTGTTTGACAATAAGGCGAAAGACAAAGAAACAATGAAGGAGCAAGTCAGAAGATTGACCAAACTAGTCGATGGAATCAGAAAAACATATTCAAAACACAATTTACGTTGGGGACTGGAAGAGGCTGTGACAAATATTTGTAACGAGTTTAAAAACATTTCAGCGGACGAACCTCGGCGTTTGTGTTTGCTGGAGGGGCTAAAAAATCGACTTTTAACCGAGATTGATTTCCTCTTGAGTAAAATATCAAGGAAGCCGAGCTTGGTACAACTGCTGCGTGAATCATTCCAGTTGTTTAATGAAATCAGTCATGCTATCCTCGAGACAAATTTCACCAAGAAAAAGGAACCTGAACCTGAACCTGAACCTGAACCAGAACCTGAGAGTGGATTTATGGACCGTATAATAGAATTCAAGAATACGATATGGTCCTTTTTTGGTTATCCGTCTAAGCCAAAAGAAGAAAGCGAAGATAAGTAGAATAAGCACAAGTGTAGGCAGAAGAAGGGGGGAGGGTTGTTGGTAGGGGTTGCAACTAAACTTGGAAATTGTAAATGAAACATGTTTAATAATGCAACTCAATTGTTTGAAAACAGAATTTGTAAATATGTAAATACTAGAAAAAGTAACAAAAAAGCCTGAATGACTCTTGTCCAAATTGACGTTTGCTCGCAGACTGTTTGCGTAAAAACAACAAAATCTACGTATCGCTTAATCTTGTATCATGGTTTTAGCTAATAATGCAATAAAAATTATTTTTTTAATCAAATAGGTTATTTATTTTATTTGTCCAAATATTGATAGCAGCGCCTTCTTCTGTATGATAAAAATTTACAGCTACATCATTTTCTTCAAATTATTACAGGATTAACGTATTAAATATGCATTCTGTATATATATATATATATATATATATATATATATATATATATATATATATATATATATATATATATATATATATATATATACATATATATATATATATATTTTTGAGCAAAAGTTGTTGGCTTGTCCTTGTCCCGAAAACATTACAAGTTTGGATCAGAAGGCCTTTAGGTGGGTGTATAGATCAGGAACTAGATTTCCCATTCTTGTAGTTTAAGGTTCAGGAAATTTAAATTTGCAGCAGAGGCCAATTTCTATACTTTTCATTAGACATTAATGGCAGCGGCTTGCTTTGTTTTCCAGGAAGTCACCTATTTCTTTTCTTAACTTAAATACCCTGCTCAGAACTTTCTCAAAACTTAGTTATTTTAATGGTAAATCTTGCGATTCTCTGTTTGTATCTTTCAACATGTCTCTGAACTATCTATGATAGAGTCAATGTGACCTTATAAATTCACAATCTTCAACACAGGATTCACTACACTGCGTATGTCCAAATATGTAGCACACAAAGCTTGCTGGTTAATAAATAATACAGTGCGGGAACATTGGTTGTAGAATGTTTTTCTCATTACACATCTGCTCCACTTGTCCAACCAAGCCTTTCTTTATGCCACTAATGTTCTTCCCTCCGTCAACAGTCAGGTAACTGAGGTTAGTCCAGTCCAAGTTATAATCAGCAAATATATTTTTTTTAACTTATTGAATATATCCTCTCCGGTAACAGTGTCATAAAAGCCAGCTCTTGTGTTATGTTCATGTCTTCACACCTCTAATAAACACAAGCAGTTGATAGGTGGAACAGCTGTCCAGCGACTCATCCATTGCAATTGAAAAATTGCGAAACTTGCTTGCATTATTTGCTATTTGAGTCACAGTGTTTTCACCAATGTCTGCAACACGGTGGGCAACGGTAGTTACACCGAAAACTACATTTTCAAATTGTTTTGAATGTTCAGGGCAAAGTTCCTAAGCCACCTCCAACAAACATTTTTTCCTTGGACAAAAAGATCTCAGCAGGCCGGATGAGAGGACCTCGCGGGCCGCATCCGCCCCGCGGGCCGTAGCTTGGAGACCCCTGCTTTAGAATGACGTATATGGTTAGGCGGCTAATATGATATTCTCTTGATTTATTTATAGACGATTAACGTATTAAAACAGTGTGTCAAATAGTAATTTATTTTAAAAAAAGAACATCGATGTATCATAAACAACTATATGTATTTATTTAGAGATGGTATGATAAAATACACATATTTTGTAGTGGGCTGAGAGTAGTTTAAACAAAATTACTATCAGCGAAATGTTGGTAATCTCGGGTAAGGTAGATAACCTTTTTTTTTAAATTTATAAATGACAGTTTCGAAATGAGTTACCTACCTAGCTGATGAAAACTGGTCCTCAAGTCACTACGCATATGGAGTGTTTTGAAATTCAAGTCAAAATTGTATTCTTGGTGATTCCCTGTAGTTAGCCAAGACGGAGAGAATGCTTAGGAATAGATAACTATGTTTAAAAAGTGTGTGTTTAAAAACGACAGTTTCAATCCATCCGACATCTTTGCAGAATACTTTCCTTAATTAGGCACTGTTTATCTTTTTAACTTTCATAAAA